CCCCCCCACCCCATCCCACACACATGCACCATCTTATGGCATCATATTGATTTCTGCACTCTAATTCTCATGCTCTCCCCGTTCCTCGCACATCGTGCCGCCTCAGCAGAAGCTTTTTAGCCGTTTCTAGGTCAGCGCTCAAATCGATAAGCATGAGTCCAGAGCTGCCGGAGTCACAGGTAGAACCCGGGTCCTTGCTGTTAGCATGGCATGCAGGGAAAATCATCACACGGCGCTGCATCATCTCGGCGAGATGGTGGAAGGGCAAATCGGGCAGTCAGTGGGTGAGCGAAGAGTCCTTCTGCCCTGGTGAGACTTCCACACCGGAGGGAATGTTTCTCTGGATCAAGGAATCGAAGCAGGTTGGACGTGGAGTGCTTTGGGTGCAGAAATAAACCTGACAGAACTGTGGTAACACCTTTAGCTGAGTGAATGATGAGTGCCCTTTTGTTCAGAGCGCCTGGCATCAACCTAGCTAGGGACGTTTATGCTGGCAGGGGGGGTTTGCTAGACTGTTTGTAGATGGAGGGTGAGGGAGAAGCTTTTGAAGCTCGACATCGAGCAGGAGGCCCAAAGACGAAAACGGGTCACCACCGTGGGGGAGATTTTTTTGTCATCTATCTGTATCCCGTACGCCGTCTTTGATCAGTTGTCATTTAGGCTGTTTGGGGTTCGGTAATCTGAAAAAAGTCCCCAGGGTGGCGCAGTGACTCTGAGACTGAATAATTGCAGGCTAAAATCCAGGAAGGAGAATCAGAAGTGTTTAACTTGAAAGCCCAGCAGTACACAGGGATGAAAGAAGGATGCTGTGTTCATGTATCTTTAATGATGTTTTGATACGCCTGTTACGCTGTGAGGTAACGTGGCAGCCCTTTTGCTCAGTGAGACCACCTCCTGGGCTGTCGCTTACGTGATTGGCTACTGACAAGGCATGCAGGACCCTGCAAAAACGTAGTGGAGACCCCATTGACTTCACAGCCTGCTCACCAGCACACAATTCTCCCAGATGACCCTTTCAGTGTAAGAAAGAAAAAACGGCCAGGTCAGCCATGAATGAAGAGTTCAGGGTCACTCAGTTCCCGTGACGGTGAAATCCCTCCTGCGCAGACTTTGGTGGACTTTAATCATTTTCTTTATCCATGGCATCACACAGCAGAACAGAGAACCCAACCAGCTTCTTCATTTAACCAAACACCACCGGTTCTTTGCTGGGTATTTTTTATTTTTTTGCAATACCCAGCTTGGGTATCCATCTTGTCACAAGGCTCGGCTGTCAGCTTCAATTAAGATGGAGCGGCAGATTCTGAGTGCTGACGCTGATGGGCCGGTCATTACAGAGCCGAGGCAGAGGAAGGTTGTGCGTCTACAGCGGGGACAGCAGCCTCTACGCAGAGCCGGCGCGTGATTTCCCAGTGCGTGCCGCTGACCTTTCAAACGCACTCTTTTGTGCGTCCTTCAGGTGGAAATAATGTCATTGTGGTGCGATAGTATGACAGGCAAATAGCTGAGGGTGAGCTCAGTTTGTGAGAAAAGCATCGATTCACTCTTCTCAAGTGCTTGTGGATAAAAATGCCACGGTATAACCCAGCTATTGGCAGGCAGACACCCACTGACCTCAATAATCTAAGTTATAAGATAAAAGGTAAACACCATGTTTAGTTAACTAGGGGGTGGACTGGAGGGTTTGCATACATAAATAACAGTGATGTATACTTTTAAGCAAGCAACCAAATTCCAGGCGCATGAACTGAACACCTTATTTCTTAAACTGCTCCACCAAGAACTTCTTGTTCTGCGAGGTGCGCAGTCACTCTGCAAGCTCCACGCCTTGCTGAACTGAATACGGTACGTAGACCGAACTTGGGTTACACATCTACAGACATCGTTGTACTTAAGCAAATTGTTTTGCCGATTAATACGTGTTTAAAAGCTGGTGTTTATATTTAATATATCCAGCTGTCTATTTCCAGAAATCCACCCTAACTAACAAATAACCAGAACGCAAACCTAGACACAGAACAAGTTTATAAAATCCCGCTAAACCTTGAAATTCCAGCAACAGTCATATCTGATTAAATTCAATTCGGAGGGTAATCGCCCGGTAAGAAAATGTTAGTTACTGAATGCGTATTTCAATGACGAAAATAGTATTGTGCTTTTATTTCGCACAACATGAATGTTCATGCGAAACGACTGGAGGTATCAAGGACGGACAAGTGCCGCAAGTGGAGAACAGGTAAAATCCTATTTACGTACATGATTCAGGGTGGCTTATGCAAGGAAAACGTTTTATGTTGAGCTAAACTATGCAGGGGAAATCCGTTTAGCATAAGGTTTATCCACTTTCAGACGTCCATATTATTCATCTTCGATCCTGACGTTTCCGATTATACAAGGACGGTTCGGTGACTTACCTCCCAACGCTTGCTTCATAACAAATTCCATGGCGATGGCTTTGAATTCCTGCCTTCACTTGCTTTTCTATCTTACATTCAGGTGGAACAGAAGAAACAGCCCGTGGATGCCAGACCTAAAAAAAAACACATTAAATATAAACAGGCATCGAACACAGCGAACCAATTCCAGTCTGATATAAACTTGTAATCATACCCCTACTCCTCATTGACATTCGTCGATGGATGGAGCAATGGCCATTATTAAATCGTAAAATAAATTTCGGCATCTTAGAATAATTTTGACACCAATAATCTGCCATGTCATAATGTGATTTTGGCGTCAGTGTTATCCCAAGGTCAGCGTCTCAGATATTTAAAAAAGTCGAATAAAATGTACTGTACAATACCTTAGGACTTATTTTGCGATGTATTAGTTGACGGTTTGCGCGGTTGCATTTCAATTAGTTTATATTTTCAGCGTTCACTGTCGATCCATTTGGACAGGACAGTGGTGTTAAAAAGTCAGGTGTTAGTGGAAGTAGATTTTGTCTATCGTGATATCGGTTCTTGAGAGCACTTAAAACTGACGCTTAAAACGTCCCACCTCGTCACTTATAATATAACTGCGTTTAAATCCAATTTGTAATTGATTACACCTGATCGGAGGTGTCTTCTTGCTTGCCAAAAGATCTCAAGTTTTCCTAGAGTTTAACACTAGGGGGGAAAACGCAGTAATCGACTTCCGGAGCTTTATAATTCTCTTCCAATGTGAAACATTTCCACTATCCAATTAAAAGAAACGTGATTTCCCATGCTTACTGAGGTTTCAGGCGCATATTTGTAAGACGTGGATTATTTTAACAGTGCAACAGTGCGTCAGTATTAAAACTATTATTCCTCATTACTTTCCCGGTACCTCTCCCTTTAGCGGAAACCCGTCTGTAATGTACATGCACCGTAAGTGCGGAATCAGCCCCTATCCGTACGCTGTCACATTTCAGCACCATCTAATGGACAGCTCCCCCATTTCGTCCCACAATCAAAAGCAAAGACAAAACGCGATTCCCCACACAGCAGAGGAAATGGTTACCTGTCGTGGCGTCCTGTGTATGTACTGAGACGTTTTGCCCTCCAAAATGAAGTTCAGTGGCTATTTCAGCACCTCACTCGGCGCATCCCTGTTTTTTTTCCCCCAGCCTAAAGGTCGTCCGCCTCCTTCCCCTCGCAGTGGCCGTGTGAGTGTTTGGGAAAGAAGCTGTAGCTGCCGACAAACGAACTCACTGAATCACATGGAGTTATACCTTCCGAAACGTCCCACGTCCTGACACAAAACAGAGCAATCTATTATTCATGCCCTAACTCCCTCCCATTCCCTACAACGGAATTTCCCTTTCAAACACACCCAAGCAAACAATAACGACGTGTTCGTAATTAATCTGTGTTCAAGATGGTCTTTGTTTATGCATTTTTTCCTGTTCTGCTCTGAACCTTTTCTTTCCGGAAGAAATCGCTGCTGAGTTGTGCTTGGGTAGGGGCGAAAGCTTCTTTGTAGGTTATGCAGTAATATGGAGTCATTACGCTTTTTTTTATAGGAGCGGATCACTTGTATGTTGCAACTCTTTCGGGGCAACGTATATGTGCGGCTGTCGGTGAGTTGGGTTTAAATAGCAGCCGTTCATGAAGCATGAGATCCGCTCCGGCAGCACACGCTCACCTCGCTTCGTCCTTGGGCATTTAAAGCGACGCTGCCCCTCCGTACGTTGACCTGCCTCCCTAATCACTTGTACGCGGACGGGAACATACCGATGCGCAAAAACCTCAACAACTCGCGGATCGCTGCTGTTCATTGACTGTCGACTAAACATGTGTGACATATTCGTTCGGACCTACTCGAAACGAACATGGGCACCCCCTGCTTCATACATCGAGAAGGTATATGGAGATGACACCAGTACAGTAGCGCAATATATAGGATATTCAATGAGGGAGCTGCGTACTATATGGTGGAGACCAAACGCAGAAGATCCGCCCTATTGGTTAGTTGTATGTGTACGTAGAAAATACCGTTCAGAACTAAAACGATCGTGCTCGGTGTCTCCGCTTCGTTTGTAGGCTATTTCGGTGACTTAGCCTAAATAATGACATTCATTGTGAGTGCAGTTATTGTTGTTTTCATCCTAGGCGTTCATTACGGTCCAAACGCTTAAATATTTGGAATATTACTGATAGGAATAATGAACAATGAAGGTTACATTTTGCAAACGTCATATGCATAAACCCCACAAGTAAGCTATAGAGGTGCATTATAAAATCATAGTGAATATTCAACATCGGCACCGATTAAAGTTTCATGATTTTATTATTGTTGTCATGTGGACATGTTGAAATTCATACCTATGTGTTTCCTGCAGCCTGTAGCGCCAAGCCGGCAAAGAATCACCTATTTTTTGATGATTGTATGCTTAATGAGGTTCCACACGGGACCTGTAACCTCTCGCTCCAGGGTAATAAAAACACACAATCTGCTTAACATAAAAGATAATCAAATGTAAAGGACCTGTGCAGATAAATAAAAGTCTTTTATTACTATTAAATAATATCGCCATATACAGGCAAAATGGCTCTTTATTACGCATTAGATCCTACATTATTTAACGCCATTAAATAGTAATGCTCTGTTTTCCCAAACTGTCGGTCCTAGATTAAAGTTCTCCACCACTCTACGCAATAACTGCTGCCTTACACACAGGTGGAAAACACGCCTTCAGACCACCAGGTAATTGTTAAATCAATGAACATGATTAAAATACATTCTTTTAAATTTTTAATATATCCTGCAGTCTAAGAAAAATAAATGCAATCTGAAAAAAGATGCTCGCCTGTTTTATTAGGCCAATTTTATGTCTCGAGGTGTTTCTTTACACTGCTTGTCTCCGGTTCTTTACACCGCGTGCAAGTCGCCCTAAAATTTTTACAGAGCTCAGCCCACTGGGGACAGAGCGTCGAGAGAAAGGCGTCGGCGATTCAAGCATAAAAATCACGCCGAAACAGAACGGAATACACAGTGACTCCAGTCACTACCTCATAGTGGGTGGCCAAGCTCCAGAATATCATTTACCATGACGATTTCTGATTAATGAACATTTTTATGATTTTTTAAAAATAGCAACACAATAGAATGCTTTGTTTCATAACCATAAATATAATCAAGCATAGCCACCAGTTGATAAAGATTTGCCAAAAACTAACGCTTAAAATGATTTTTGTCTTATACTTGCATGGATGTGTTACTTAATTTTATAGTATGAAGGACTGGAGTCTCTGTTCCTACGATCGAGTTTAATAAGGTTTCAGCATTAACATAAACAGGGTCGTGCTCTTTTTGATGAATCTATTACGGAATCCATTTTAATTTTTACAATTTCTATGTCTGAGCCCCCCTCCCCTGTGCAGGTCCTTGATACCCACCCTCGTTCTCTTGCTATAAAAAGCATGTTTGAAGTCCTGGCCCAGCAGCACCTAGAGAATAAGGAAGCACAAAATGTCAAAACTTCTGTGTAAAAAGCCCATGTGATTGGCAGAAAGGGGGTGGGAGGAGCACAAACTCTCCACAGTGTCAGAAGACAGCTTGGGAAGGCTTTGATTACCTGTTTCGGGCCAATGATCATCAGTGTCTGGCTAGTGTCACTAAAAACAAAGTTTACTGAAAATAGATTAAAGCAGGGGGGATGTATAGCAAATGATCAGTAGCTGTAATTATACGGTCTTGTGAATAATGTCATCCTTTTTGTTTCCTAAAGCCAGATCTCTTCTGTTTCAAGAAATGTATATATATATATATATACCCGCTCACACATACACACACACAGAAAATGTATATTTATTATATATTTATTTGTATCACCATCCACATATACATTATGTGTGTGTGTGTGTGCGTGTGTGTGTGTGTGAGCGGGTATACCTATCCTTATGGGGACGCAAAAATCCCCATTACGTGATAAATATCTGTTTTTTTTCCCCTTATGGGGACCAGTTTCCTATAAAACTATTGCATAAAAATCGGTGACTGCTATGAAAAAAACTAAAAATGCAAAAACTTCTGTATTTTGCTTGGTTACTTATGGTTATGTTTAGGGCTGGGTGGGGGTTAAGGTTGTCACAGTTAGCGTTAGCATTTTTCCCATAGAAGTGAATGAGCAATCCATCGGGTATACCTGTCCATACCCTGATGTGTCTGTGTGTGTGTCTGTGTATGGAGGCTTATCCAGGTAATAACACAGATTATTCATATATTTGGCATTTTAGGATACTTGCCCACCCCAAGCTCCCCAAACAGCAACCCAGATGAGTTTCTTCTCCTTCTCTTTATTTGAATAGTCACAAAAGATTTGGAACACAACATAAAACATTAAACCATACAGCTCTTGTGCAAACAAACTCCATCATTGTTCTCTGCTGGCTAATAGATGTATTGTGTTACGCATGCGACTTACCCCCCCACCCACGTACACCCACACGCAAAAACATAGCAACTCAGATCTCAGAGATTTAGTGTATTAGGGCAATGAGGGTGTGTTTAGCTAAGACCTGGGAATCCTCTACATTTGCATAAAATAAAAATGAAATCCCTTTTAAAACTCTAAAAAAAACTGTATTTTGTTGGACAAATTCTTTCCATTTGTGACCCACAGCCTGGCATGAACAGGAGTGTGCCTGTCAAAGACAAATTCCTCTTTTCATCCCAATCCCTCTTTCTTTTTGGTAAATAAAGAGAGTGTTGAAATAGCCTCGGCTCACGGGAAACATCTCTGCCGACGTGCTCGCCTCTGCAGACAATAAACGAACCGTCTGCCGTTTGAAGCTGGCCGCTTTGGTCCAGCCGAGGCTGCAGACACATTTAGCGCGCGATCACAGCGCGCGCGCCAGAGCGAGCGAGACAAGGGCACTAATGGAGTTCAGGTGTTACACTACCGCGGCCGCCGCTTATTTATTTTAACTCGACAGGCTCTGTTCGCGCTATCGGAACATTATTCACCCAAATGAATCCCAGTAAAGAGATTTCAAACGTTTTAAATGTCGCCTATGTCCACCCTCTATACATTGTTAGTCCCGCTTACTGAATTTGAATGTGCTTCTGTCGGAAACCCTGGCTGTTTCTCGAGAGCCGAGGAAGCCTCGTCTGTTAGCGTACAGCATTCGCCATTTCTCTAAGAAGAGTAATTAATCAGAAATTCATCAGGTAGGGAGGATTTTTCCTGGCGAAATTAAAACGCAGTCTGCGTACAACGAAAAGATCCCGCCAAGGTCCTCAGATGAGGTCCGCTCACTGTAATATGGAATCACTCAAAATTACTGCCAAGCACTAAACCAGAGTTGACACGATGTCTCCTCCTGTCACAGAGGAAAACCTTTGAATAGGACCAGAAGAATAGCTGAACAAACATGCCTACAACTGAGCTTATAATTATTCAAAAAATTAGAATGGTAAATAGTATGCAGCCATTTATAGAAAGGCTCACATTGTCTGCCTTTCTGTGTACCCGTTTTTAGTAACTACGGGGAAAACTATGAAATTATTATGATATATGTTTATTAATCGTGCCATTCGGCCCAGATACAGACTGCAGTCCACTAGTTGGGGAACGCTGTTCATGTGGAATCTATTGAATTTTATTGGGAGCAGAACTGATTTAAGAACAGTTAAGAAAACACTTTATACATCATAATATAGTGTGACAATGGCAGTTAAATCATGAGATGATTGGTATAATGTCTAAGTAGGGCTGTTGTGATCTGGAACCAGTCTTAGGAAAGCACAGGCTGTAAAATGAGGTCAAACCAAGATGAGCCATAAACTTAGAACACAAAACACTTGTGCTTGCAGTATTACTGAACTGTTTACTTCAGTAAATATACACCAGTAAATGTATTAAGATATTAATGCCAAGCTATGGATTACATACATGTACTAGGTAGTGCACATGTATACTTTATATGCACGTGTGTTGAGAGTATTTTACATTTATTGATGAAAATGTCTCTAGGTGTGTTTCCAACCTACCCTTTTATTGATGCGAGCAGTCTGACAGGCCCCATGTTCTGCTTCACTTCAAGGATCCTGGATGGGAAGCTGTATCTGCAGTTGCACCAAATGCCCAAATTAGTCGGGCCCTCTCCTTGTAGATAAGTGGTACTGGCTGCTTGCTTCCCCTCGCCTCCCCCCTCAGCTTTCATCCTACGAGGCAGCCATGACAGTGAACCAGGGTGTCGCTGTAACCAGGGGAGTGGGGGTGTGTTGCACGTAGGCTAATGCTAGACTGCAACCAAAGCATGACTGTCAGCTCCAGATGCCTGACAAGCATGGCCACTCCCTTGACCTAAAATAGCCTGTCCTGGGGGAGGGGGTTTACCTTTATACTGGTTAAAGAAACACCTTTCCTGACAGGAAACAGCAACAAAGCTCGACAGTCAAAGCTGTCAATGAGCTCATGGGAGTTTTACTTACACAAAAATGTTCTGGGAACAGAACGAAAAATGATTGGTTCAAAGAGATAACCAATCAGATTGTAGAGGAGGTGGGTCCTAGTGACTAGACGTGAATGTTTTCTTTTCACAAGGGCTTTAAATAAGTAACAATTTC